GAAAACTGCTCTTTACAATTTCTAGTACTGTAAATCTTTATGGGAGCAGACAACCTCTTCTTCCTCCTGAGGAAGGTGGGTTTGAACTGCTAAACTGTGGTTAGCAGCCTAACATATAACCCACTATGCCACCAGGGTTTTGTTAAGCCCAAGGTACTAGGAATTAAGTAATGAAAGAGAAGAGAGAAGTATATTTGCTGTATGTCTTTACTTCTGAAAGTAAGGAATCAAAGAAATGTGGAAAATCTAGTAAGTTTATGTGGAAAGGAACTGTAGATATTGTGAATGACACACAGAAAGAACTAGAATCAAAGACATATTAGAAGCCAACTAAATCTCTATGAGTGTTTCAGTGTCAAAGAAATCATAAGCCCGTGACTATTTAAAAATTTCAAAAATGACTTGGGCCCTAAACATTCTGTTGGTGGTAAGCAAGCTCTCAAAGCTACTTAGCTTTCAGATATAGCCAAGGAAGGCAACAGAAAAGAAATAATTTCCCAGACAGATCTAAAGGGAATGGAAAAAAGTGAGCTAGGGAGTCTTTCTCAAAGAATCAGGGTCCATGACAGGGTTGTTGTTGTTGTTGTCAGGTGCCATCGAGTCAGAACGGACTCATAGTGATCCCATGCACAGCAGAAAGAAACAATGTCCGATCCTGGGCCAACCTCACTACCGTTGCCACACTTGACACCATCAATGATGCCACCTGGCTGATCCATCTTGTTGGGGGTTTTCCTCTTTTTCTCTGACCCTTCATCTTACCCAGCATGACATCCTTCTCCAGCGACTGCTCCCTCCTGACAATATGTCCAAAGTATGAGAGACGAAGCTTAGCCATCTTGGCCTCCAAGGAGCACTATGGCTGCACTTCCAAAACGAATCTGTTGGTTTTTTTGGCAGCCATGGCACTTTCAGTATTCTCCTCCAACACCACAACTCAAAGACATCAATTCTTCTACGATCTTCCTTATTCACTGTCCAGCTTTCGCATCCATATGAGGTTATTGAAAATACCATGGCTTGGGTCAGGCGCACCTTAGTCCTCAAGCTGACATCTCTGCTCTTCAACACTTTAAAAAGTTCCTGTGCAGCAGATTTGCTTAATGCAATACGTCGTCTGATCTCTTGACTGCTGCTTCTGCGAATGTTGATAGTTGATCCAAGAAGAATGAAGTCCTTGACAACCTCAATCTTTTCTCCATTGATAAGAATGTTGTTTATTGGTCCAGTGGTGAGGATTTTTGTTTTCTTGATATTGAGGTGCAATCCATACCGAAGGCTGTGTTCTTTGATCTTCATCAGTAAATGTTTCAAGTCCTCTTCACTTTCAGCAAGCAAAGTTGTATCATTTGCATATCGCAGGTTGTTAATGAGTCTTCCTCCAATCCTGATGCCACGTTTTTCTTCATAGAACCCAGCTTCTTGTATTATTTGCTCAGCGTACAGGTTGAATAAGTATGGTGAAAGAACACAACCTTGTTGCACACCTTTCCCAATTTTAAAACATTCAGTGTTTCCATGCTCTGTTCGAACTACTGCTTCTTGGTCCAGGTACAGATTTCTCAGAAGTACAATTAAGTGTTCTGGAATACTCATACTTCTCAATGTTGTCCATAGCTTGTCATGATCCACACAATCGAAAGCCTTTGCATAGTCAATAAAACATAGGTAAACATCTTTCTGATATTCTCTGACAGGGTAGGGACCTTGAATGCCCAGCAGGATTTTGGAGTTGCTATGGGCTGTTGTCGTTGTTGTAAGGTGTTGTCGAGTTGGTTCCGACTCACAGCAACCCTAGGCACAAGCGAACAAAATACTGCCCAGTCCTGTACCATCTTTACAATTATTGTTACATTGGAGCCCATTGTTGCTGCCACTGTGTCAGTCCATCTTATTGGGGCCTTCCTTTTTTTGCTAACCCTCCACTTTATCAAGTATACTATCCTTCTCCAAGGACTAGTCCCTCCTGGTAACATGCCTGAAATCTCACCATCCTGGCTTCTAAGGAGAATTCTGGCTGTACTTCTTCTAACACTGATTTGTTTGTTCTTCTGGCATGGTACTTTTAGTACTCTTCTCCAACACTATAATTCAAATGCATCAGTTCTTCTAACATCTTTCTTAGTCATTGTCCAACTTCACATGTATATGAGGCGATTGAAAAGATCATGGGTTGGGTCAGGCTCTTTAATACTTGAGAGAGGTCTTTTGCAGCAGATTTCACCTAATGCAATATGTTCTGCTATGGGCTACCAGCCTCCAAATATTGTCTATCTCTTCCCAATCTGAGTGAGTGTTCAAATGGGTATTTTGTGTTTTGAATAGAGGCTAGACATTCCACTTGGGAGTAAATAGGTCTTTAGTTTGCTTCCAGATCTGATATAGAGTCTAGCTGGTATCTCCTAGAGATCTTAGACATTGAACTGGATGCCTAGGTTTTCTTCCTTGGGAAGGGGTATCTTGAGTATATTTTGTCAGTGGGAAAGAATGTGTACCACATTTTTGGTGATTAGAAGAGCAGACTGTGGTAGTATGTTTTCACAAACTATTCTGGTCTTTTCTTTCTGTGCACATGGAAGCAGTGTACTTTCCAGCTCTCCTGTGGTTGGGTGAGGTCATGTGACAAGTTCTGGCCAATGTATTTTATTGTGGGACATTTAACTGCCAGTGCAAGACAATCCAGGGCTCTCTCTTTTCAGCAATAATGAATGGTAATAACCACAATTGCAATGCTTTAGAATGAATATAGAGTCACCAGCTAATCTTCTATGTACATGTATGAGCAATTTATGTTTTTAAGTTTTTGGGATCTGCTAAATAGGAGCTCTGGTAGCATAGTGGTTACAAATCGGGCTGCGAACCTTAAGGTCAGCGGTTCAAAACTACCAGCCGCTCCGCGGGAGAAAGATGAGGCTTTCTACTCCCGTAAAGATTTACCCCCTCAGAAACCCTGTACAGGGTCGCTATGGGTCGGAACCGACTCGACGGCACTTAACAACAACAACAAATAGGAGCTCTGGTAGCATAGTGGTTATGAGTCGGGCTGCCAAATGCAAGATCAGCAGTTCAAAACTACCAGCGGTTCCACGGGAGAAAGATGAGGTGTTCTGCTCCAGTAAAGATTTACAGCCTTGGAAACCCTGTGCAGGATCACCATGAGTTGGAACCGACTCCATGATACTTAACAACAACAATTAGTGATATCATAGCCTATTCTGCAGTTACACTTGCATCATTTAAAAGCACACACAGATATATTTTGTGTAGGAAAATGTGGTAGTGGTGGTAGTATGCCAAGGAGTCAGTTCTGACTCATAGTGACCCTGCTGTATAAAGGTTTCCAAGGCTGCAAATCTCTACAGGAGCAGAAAGCCGCATCTCAGGTGTACCTGAACCAAACCATGGTATTTTCAGTCATCTCATCTGCATGTGAAAGGAACACCACAAAAGAATTAATGTATTTGAGTTATTGGCAAAGAATATTGATTATACCACGGACTGCCAAATGAATGAACAAATCTTAGAACGCTTCTTAGAATGAACAAATCCAGAATGCTTCTTAGAAGTGAGAACAGTGAAACTTCATTTCATGTACTTTGGGCATGTTATCATGAGGGACCAGTCCCTAGAGAAGGACATCATGCTTGGTAAACAAGAGGGTCAGGGAAAAAGAGGAAGACCATCACCAAGAGGAGTAGCTGGTGAGCTTGAACTGCCGACCTTGCAGTTCAAACGGCTTTGCAGTCTGGTGCATTATCCCACAACGCCACACTAGGACTCCTAAGATGAATAAACATAGTGGCTGCAAAAATGGGCTCAAACAATTGTGAGGATGTCGTAGGACTGGGCAGTGTTTTGATTTGTTGTACACAGGGTTGTTATGAGTTGTAACTGACTTGGCAGCACCAAATAATAACAGTGGCTAAAAAACAACAGAAATGTATTCTGTCATAGTCCTAGAGGCCAGAAGTTCATTCAGTTTCACTGGGCTCAATCGCGATAGCAGCATGTTCTCACTCCCTCTGGAATCCTTAGGAGAGAATCTGTTCTTTGCCTCTTCCAGCTTTGGGTGGCTGCCTGCATTCCTTTGAGTGTGGCAGCATCACTCCAACTCTGCTTCATGGTATGACACATCTATAATCTCCCTCTCTCAAGAACACTGCAATTTGATTTAGGGTCTACCCAAATAATGCAGGAAAAACTTCCTGTGTCAAATCTTCAACTTCATCAAATATACAAAGTCTCCTTTTCCTTCTAAAATAACATTGACAAATTTCAGGGAATAGGAACAAATAATTTTAAGCCATTATTCAATCTTCTACAATAACTATACCTACCTCAAATGGGGGAGTTGAGGATTCAATGAAATAATACAATAATGTTCATCTTGATTTTCTAGTAACTTCCAAATAATACCAGCAATCAAGGATCTTATGTTGGGTAGTTACCTGACTAAAAACTATAGTTGCTACAAAGGTAACATTTTTGGCAGTGAAACCAAATAGGTGGTAAAGGTATGATTTTTTTGTGTGTGCGTATAAATTAAGCTGGACACTATACACTTTGGCCCCAAATCCCTCTAATCTCGAAATAACTTCCTAAAAGAAAAATGTATTTCCTCTCTACCTTCCTTTCCCCCTTGCCCTCTCTTCCAGATGTGAAAAACAGGACCCTTAGCTTAAACATAATTGTCTATTTTGGAACACTATATTTTTGGAAAAAATTCTCACCTTAAGAAATGGCCAAAATGTTATTTGATTTAGTACATTTGAACAAATCTTACCGAGGCCAGAAATATTATCGCTCAGTGGAAGTGCAGTAAAGAAGAAGACTGTGCAATAAACTATGTCGTGCCCAAGCCTCCTGCTATTTTTTACACCATGTTAATACTGATGCAAATTGACTAGGGTTTTAGTGCCTGAGAGTAGGGGCTCTGGGAATATTGCACCCCCCCCCCCAAGACCCTCCACTGCTGAGCCCTGCCATTAATCACCACTTGCCTGTCTCGAGATCTCCCACGGTTTGGTCACGGCTCCAAGGTCACAGGCTGTCATTAACATTGATCTGGAAAACAGAACCAAACAAAACAGCCTGAATAATCTTTTGTTGCATTCCTAAACAAACCCGTCCCAGATACATAAATAAGTAAAATGAAAACGAGGCCAGCTCACGTCTTCTTTACCTTAACAAGGGGCAGCACTGTTTATCGTCTGTACACCCAGCACCTCTGTCCTGTGGCCACTCAGCTTAGGAAGACAAAGCTATCACATACCCTCCAGTGGCCCTTTTGTTTGGTCTGCAGCAAATCAAGGAAAGCAAAGCACTATTTTCTCAACACCTACAGAGCTAAGAAAGCTCTGTTTAAAATAATTTATAATGGATAATGCATTTAAAGTTTTTTATTTTTATTATTTTTTTTTACTATAAGCAAGGGAATCTGTATATAATGCTCTGTACATGGCTGATGAATCTATTTAGCAATTTATCCCTGATTGATGGGAACTGAAGAAAAGCCACATCAAAGAGGAGAGGAGCCTTCATTTTCATCTGCTCTGTAGCACTAAGATTTACAGGGGAGAGCCACAGTTTCACTACGGTTTACAACCTGGCTGCAACCATGTTTTATAAGCATTATGAAGAAGAAACATATTCAGCTACAGCTTTTATTAATTTTAGTACACAAGAAAGCATAGAAAGGGTTTGAATCTGATTTGAGGTGTGGAACTGTATTGGGTTCAAGTAGAATTCATGCTGAATTGTGGCTACAATAACACAGGCACAATTAAAATTACAGATAGCTCAGGTGCTTATGATTTGAGTGGGGGGAAATAAGGCACACTCTTGGTCCAAAATCTGCTTGCTTTGTACTGAAGCCAGCAGTATCTGGTCACAAGGAATGAAGACTTCGAGCTGGGAAATGATACCTTGGCTAATTCCTTTTGGAGGAAAGCGGTATGTTGTTAAAGGTCACAGGGCTGTCCCAATGTCAGGTGCTCACACTTCATCACCTGCCAGATTTGAACTCCTTGGAAATGTGTCTGCTTCCCAGATGGCAGAATATGCCTAGATGGTAGTGGGGTTTGTGTAACTTCCCCAGGAATTCCCTCTAGGGAACAAGGCAGAGCTGCAGATAACAATGGGCCATTCACAGCATAGCCGGGCAGTACCAGCATCCAGTCTGGGGGAATCAAGCTGGGTTTATGAAGCACCTCATTCTGGATGTCTACGTGTACTATGTGCTATGTAAAGAGAGACACGACACATTAGCCTATTCTTCATATTTGATCTTCCGTAACCAACACTTCTACACTGACTACGTGCCTGATGCTATTCTAAGTGCATTACAAATACCAGGGAGCTTCAGAAAGTTCCACTATCTTTCAGTTCCATCTTTTTCACAGACTTTTTGAAATCCCCTCTTATTAACATTCATACTAATGCAATGGATCCTTAGAGTAGCTGCTGTTATTTCTATTTTGTTGTTGAGGGCTGTCGAGTCGATTCTGAGTCATAGCTACACTGTACAGGGCTTTGTGGAGCAGCTGGTGGGTTTGAACTGCCAACCCCCTGGTTCACAGGCCCGTGTTTATCCTACAGCACCACACCATGAGTTCATTTTTTATTTTACATGTAAGTAAATAGAAGCATGGTGAGATAAAGTTAACTTTCCTAAGATTTCTGTACTTAACCTGATCACCTCTCAATACACTCCAATGCTTCATATATTAGGTTCTGTGGGTACGCAAAAGGGACAAGACTCTAATGCATTGGGCTTTGCAGTCTCTTCCTAGACAGGTAACAACATAATTAGGAATCTCTGAAGTTGCCTACTTGTACCACAACTGAGATAATTACTTAGGTTTCATCATCTTGATAATTTGAGGTTCACTTTGCAAGTAATTGATTCAAGTCCACTGAGTTCATTCAAGTTCATGCCAGAGGTGGCCTGATTGTTGAGGAGAGGACACAGTGAGCCCTAATGCTGGCCTCACAGGCTTTCATTGTAACACTCAGCAGCTTTAGAGCAGGACTAAGAAAGCAGAAGGCCTGGGGATGGGTGCCATGGTATGTAGTGGCAAGGTTGTGGGATGAGAGAAGAGGGTTGGTGCCTGACCATCTGGAGCGGATGCAGTGGTGGTGGTGGGGGTGGTGATGGAATGCCGTTGAGTCCATTCTGACACATAGTGACCATGTAGGGGGTTTCTGAGGCTGCAGTAGGGTGATTAAAATGTGTCACAAAACATGACGATTTGCTGTTGCCTATTTTAAACAACTGGGAAGGCATCGCTTATGAACTAATTTGAACATCATTTAAAAAATTTGAAAACAAATTTATGAAGAGAAGACCAAAATATAGTAAGGTTCACTTTCTGAGACACATTCTCTTTTTTCCTGTATGACTAATATCCTCGGAAACCCTATACAGGGTCAGTATGAGGCAGAACGGACTCGATGACACTTTAATAGAACAACAATATCTGATGTGGCACTGGGGAATCAGCACTGGAATTCAAACTACAAGGTTGGTGTCTCAAACCCACCAGCTACTCCTCGGAAACCCTTTATAGGGTCATTATGAGTCAGCATGGACTCAACAGCACTTAACAACAATATCTAAAGTGGTGAATATAAGGCACTTTATGTTTTATATTATGAAGTCCTGGTGTGGCACTGTATGTTAAGCACTTAACCTCAAGGTTGGTTTTAACTGCAAGGTTGGTGGTTCAAACTCACTAGCCACTCCTTGGAAACCCTATAGAGGGTGATTATGAGTCGGAAACCAACTCGACGGCACTTAACAATAACAACAATAACAACATATTTTTATATTACTACTTTAAAAATCATTTGTATGTTCAAGAAAGTGTCGCTAAATCTTGAAATAATGAAAAAGCGCACAAGAGTTTTTTTTCTTACCGAAATGTATCACGATGTTTTTTGATGTTCCAATCATATTCACCTTTCCTGACAAGTTCAAAGAATTCAGTTCTCCTCCTGCACAAAAATCAAATGAAGAAAGAAAGAAAAAAAGAGAAAGAAACCTGGAATGAGATTTCCTAGTCTGTGGGGTGACATAAACACATTTATGGGGAAAATATAAGAGCACCTGAACCAGGTAACTTAATATTTGAAATTATGAGGCCAAAGTTCTAATAAAATAAATCATTAAAAAGAAAAAAACCCATTGAGACTTCAAGAAAAAGCCACATTCACTTCTGAAAGTATTTACAACAAGGGAGCTTATGGAGCCATAAAACAGAAAACAATGTGCATTGCGTTTAGGATTATGTGCTGTGAGGCCCTCTGTTTCGCTTACTGAATGTCAAAGAAGGAAGGCAAGGACAAATAAAAAGTAGAAACAATTTCCGAATGTTCTTTTTCATTCAACATAGAACTGAGTTGTATGATGAACCAGGATAAGATCAATTTTCTGGTAGTAAATTCACAACAAATTTATTTTTCCAGGTTAGAAAATGACTATTTCACCATTTCAGTGCTTAAGCACATAGTCTCTGGAGTCAAACAACTGGGTCCAAACAGTGATCCCATCACCTGCTAGTTGTGCAATGTTGGGAAGTTACCCAAATCCTCTGAGCCTCAATCTTCTCATTTCTAACCTGGGACTATATTTGTTAACTCACAGAGTGATTGTGAGTATTAGATGAGATGATATATGTAAAGCATTTAGCACAGTGTACTTTTTAAGAACTAGATACAAACACACACACACGATATACACATCTATGCATCTCCATATGGACAAAACAAGAAGATAAGAAGTGAAGGTTTTTTAATTGTGAGAATATAGGTGATTTATTCCTCTTTAAAACTTACCTTGCATCTAGTGATATGACTTCATTTTTACAATGAGAAATTTTAATAAGAGGACATTGCCGCTTTGATTTAAGAATCAGTTGGCATATTTTGCCTGGTTGGCACTTTCTAATGAGAAATTCTTTAAAGGAAATTGATGACCCATTTCCCCAAAGTGTACCCTACAAACTGCTCGTCTTAGAAGGTGCTCTATGCCAAGGGATTCTCTGGCCAAGGAGGTTTGAGAAATGCTGCCTATAATACACTTCCCTTGGAAAGTCACCAACTATGCTAAGCTTGGTAAGGTTCTGAGAAACAGAAAAGCCTCTGATTACAGACTTCCACAGTGCTGTACTGATACTCTAAGGACTATACTTTGGAACGTGCTGCCGTTATACATCGTTTATAGTAGGAATCTGACAGGGGAGGATCTCAGAAACATAGCGCTGACCTAGTACTGTTGGAGGACAAGGAGCACGATGCTGAGGGTAGTTGGCTCCCCTGTGTCTAGCTGGAAGTACTCATGACCTGCTTGCTAATGTATGGATTTCCTACCATCTGGTCAGACTGGCTTCTCAATTTATCAAAAAGGTTGGGAAGTCAAATGTGTGACTCACTTCTTTATTCAAGACACAACAGATTCTGTTCCTGCCCCCTGAAGTGGGTACAAGTTAAGGTCATACCAGGGTATGCGATAATCTTCAGGGCAGAGATGACACACACACAATTATACTGAAGGGTCCAGCAACACCTGTCCACTGGGGCTGGGGAGGGGGCATGCACACATTGATCATGTCTTCTTATAACCTGACAGTGAACTGAAATAGAATGGGAGGTTGGTCGAGTGGAAAAAGCAGGCTTTAGATGCACACTGACCTCAGTTTAATGCTGTTGTTGGGTGCTTGGAGTCAATTCTGACTCATAGTGACCTTATATGGGCTTTCTTGGCTGTAATCTTTTTTTTTTTCTTTAAGTTTTTGTTGTGAATTATGTGTTAGTATCTGGTAGTGTAGTGGTTACGAACCGGGCTGCGAACCTTAAGGTCAGTGGTTTGAAACTACCAGCCGCTCCGCGGGAGAAAGATGAGGTTTTCTACTCCCTTAAAGATTTACACCCTTGGAAACCCTGTACAGAGTCGCTATGGGTCGGAACCAACTCAACGACACTTAACAACAACAACATACATGGGTAAACATCTTTACATTCATCCTATCGTGCTTTGTTTCATTGCAGTGATCACAATCCCCTGAATGCATCATCAAACACCCAAAGGTACACCCCACCCACACTCCTGCCGCCCCCCGCCCCCGGCTGCTAGCACACAACCCCTCTCCCTCCCCGAGTCCAGAGTCCCCAGCTACTCCTTCTCTCCAAGTTATGTCATTGCATCTGCCTTCATCCCTAGTGTCACTGCCTCTCTGGGCACGGTCTCGCACTTCGCTTTTCTCCCTTGATGGTTCCAGGGATCTTGGCTCCTCCTGGACTGCAGAATCAGGTTCTCCCCTCCTTTTCTTATCAAACATTTACATTTACATTTCCCTTGCCAACACTCCTTGTCAGACCTGATTTGGCTGTAATCTTTATGGAAGCAGATCATCTGATCTTTCCTCTCTGGAAAAGGTAAGTGGGTTCCGTTTACTAATCTTCAAGCTCATAGCCAAGCACTTAACTCTTGCACCACCAGGAGCTCCTGGGGTTTAATGCTATCTCTTAATAGCTGTGTGGAGCTCCGCATGTGATTCAATGTTTCTGTGACACAATTTCCAGTTTAGCACGAAAGATTTGAGATTAAGTATGTTGCACTGGTAGATCCGTAATACCTGACAGCTATGTTGTTGTTGTTATGTGCCGTGGAGTTGGTTCCGACTCATAGCGACCCTGTACAGGGTTTCCGAGGCTGTAAATCTTTACTTGAGCAGAAATCCTACTCTTTCTCCTGCGTAACAGCTGGTAGTTTCGAACTGCTGACCTTGTGGTTCACAGCCTGATTTGTAACCACTACGCTACCAGAGCTATAGTTTGTCTATAAATAACAGAATAGAATCACTGCCAACAAAGGACTGGACTACATGGAAATGGAAAATATCACCCAATCCTCTCTTCTTGGTGGTGGTGGTGATTATGTACTGTGGAGTCGGTTCCGACTCACAGCGACCCTGTAACAGGGTTTCCGAGGCTGTAAATCTTTACGGGAGCATAAAGCCTCATCTTTCTCCCACAGAACAGCTGATAGATTCGAACTGCTGACCTTGCGGTTCGCAGTCCGATTCGTAACCACTACGCTACCAGAGCTCCTTAATCCTCGCTTCTTACTGAATGAAAATTAGTCTTTTTGTAAAAATAATTCTGGAGAAGAAGGTTTGGTTCAGTAAGTGCTTATTGAACAGCTATTCTGTGCCAAATTTGTACGAGGCTTTATGGACCACAGCACACAGGTTCTACTTTTAAACACCTCAGAGTTTATCAGGAGCAGCTAACAAATAAATATGATAAAAAACCGACCTTCAAATGTGATACTAATATAAGTGAGGCACCTACCTCTCCATTACCACTCACTTGCATCAAGCACAAAATCTAAGGGAGTGCCAAAAATCTTAATTATCAAGGTAAGTAATAGTTTAATGCAATATTTAAAAAAAAACTAAAATTAATGCAAAAATCCATAATAAATGAAATATCACAATTTTAAGTAAAAGCAGGTTCCTCCCTAGATTTCCATGACTCACCTCACTTGTTTTACCTTATTCTTGACCCTGAAGTGCCTAATATTTATTGGATGCTTAGTGTATATACTCATGTTGGGTAAGGCGGAGGGTCATAGAAAAAGAGGAAGACCTCCAGTAAAATGGATTGGCAAAATGGCAGCATCAATGGGGTCAACCGTGGCAACAATTGTGAGGTTGGTCCAGGACCAGGTAGTGTTTTGTTCTGTTGTGCATAGGGTCGCTATGAGTCGACACCAACTCGATGGCACCTAACAATAACAACTAGTGTAGTTGGCTGACCTCCTGATCACTAATCAGGCGGCTTTGGTTGCTTACTTTTAAGTTTTCCTATCAGGAAAAGGGTAATTGTAATGAGATCTATTAACAAAAAGTGATTTACATAAAGCACTTAGAAGAGTGCCTGGCATAAAGCAGGTATTTGGTATAAATGTATTTGGTTCTTCTTGGAAGTGATGTGACATGGAGTCAGACTCATAGTGACACTGCATAGAGTTGCCGAGGCTGTAAATATTTATGGGAGTGGAAAGCCTCATCTTTCTCAGAGAAGCAGCTTGTAGCTTCAAATTGCTGACTTTGTGGTTAGCAGTCAGCTTATCATCCACTATTATGCCAGGGCTCCTTCTAACCACTATAGAGTAACTACTGTTATTAAGCTCAGAGCGGTTGACTACCGCGCCCAAAGTTTCACAGCTGAGAATTGCCAAAGCTAAGATACAAACACAATCTTTTGGAATAAACAGGATATGTACTTTATTACTGCACCAGATGGATTTTCATTTATTATGGATTATGCACATGGGCAGTCATTCCAATCCTATGAGTTACTGAGTTACTCTAAGAAATCACTAGAATGCAAGCTCCATGAGGACAGGGACCCGTTTGTTTTGTTCATTGATGTATACCAGCACTTAACAATACAGTGCCTAGTGCAGAATTCAATAAAATATTTGTTAAATTGAAAAATGAAATGCATTCCCCCTCTATGTTGTTTATGTTCAAAAGCTATATATATATTTCTTCTTCTTCTTCTTCTTTTTTTTCATCTTTTTTAGGGTTTCCAAGGAGTGCATGGTGGGTTTTAACCACCAAACTTGTGGTTAGCAGTCCAGTGTTTATCCAACAGTGCCACACACCAGGGCTCCATATGTAAGATTTTTTTCTGAACCATCTGATAGGAAGTTGCATACATATATCATTGCCCTTTGCCCCTAGATACTTCCTAAGGGTATATTCTCTTATATAATAGTACATTACCAACTACAGTAAATTTAACACTGATGTGGTGCTGTAGGATCAGCACTGGACTACAAACTCCAGGGTCAGCAGTTCAAACCATCAGTTGCTCCTTGGAAACCCTATACAGGGTTGCTATATGTCGTAATCAACTCAAAAGCTATATATTTTTAAAAGAACTTTTCAGCCACTGGTTTTACCCAAATTCTTATTGTTTAGGGT